GCTGCACAATTTATTGCTCCACATGTACTGCTGCAACTAATATCCTAATTACATAGTCTGTTGCCCAGTTTGTTCTCCTTACATCTTTAGTTACACAATTTGCAACTTTGGACACTAATATTTCCCCCACACCACCTACAATATCTTATTCATTACCTGCAGCAACTAATATTCATCCCATGATCACATGGTCCAAGGCTGGAATATCTAAACCCAAAGCCTACTCAACTACCAACCATCATTTGCCCGAAACTGTTGATTTTGTCCTAACCACTTATCTCCAGGCTTCGAAACATGCTCATTGGAGGTCTACTATGCAGGATGAGTATAATGCCTTGCAGTCCACATGTACCTAGTCTCTAGTACCTTTTCAACCTTCTCAGAATATTGTCGAGTACAAGTGGGTTTTTCGAGTTAAAAAGCATCCATATGGGACTATTGATTGATATAAAGCCTAACTTGTTGCCAAAGGCTTTCATCAGCAAGCTAGTTTGGACCACAAGGAAACATGTCCACATATACCTAGTCTCTAGTACCTTTTCAACCTTCTCAGAATATTGTCAAGTACAAGTGGGTTTTCCGAGTTAAAAAGCATCCATATGGGACTATTGATTGATATAAAGCCCAACTTGTTGCCAAAGGCTTTCATCAGCAAGCTAGTTTGGACCATAAGGAAACATTTAGTCCCATAGCAAAGCCAGTCACAATTCGAATTCTTCTCTCTTTAGCAGCTCATTACAATTGGTTCCTCAATCAATGGACATCAGCAATGCCTTTTTACATAGGGATCTTCAGAAAAAATCTATATGTAACAACCACCAGGTTTTAGTGAACCCGACTACCCTAATCATGTCTGGAAACTTCATAAATCTTTGTATGGCTTGAAATAAGCCCCTAGGGCTCGGTTTGATAAACTATTGCAATTTTAAAGTCTTTAGGATTCCATCAATCATAATCTGGTGCTTCTCTGTTTGTGATCAAAGCACCTATTCTTGTCATTGTATTGGTGTATGTTGATGACATACTTGTCACATGTCCTAATCTTGCTGGTTGTCAACAATTTATTCAACAATTAAGTATTGTCTTCCTTGTGAAGGATTTAGGACCCTTGCATTATTTCTTGGGCCTTGAGATTCAAAGATCTTCTAAAGGCATCTTTTTACATCAAAGCAAATATCTCCTTGACTTGCTTCAAAAGACATATATGGAAGGTGCTAAACCGTGTGTCACCCCTCTTGGTTCACTTAAACTTGATCACACTGGTCCTTTGTTAACCTGATCCCATAGAGTACCGATCCATTGTAAGAGTGTTGTAATACTTGACTTGGATACAACCTGATTTGTCTTTTGCTATAAATCAAGTTTGTCAATTTATGCATGCTCCAAGAGAATCACATCTTCAAGCAGCCAAACGAATTCTTAGGTTTCTTAAGGTACAGTGAGTCATGGTTTGTGGTTCAAGAAATGTGTTATTCATCTCAATGCTTACTCAGACGCTGATTGTATATTTGATAGACAGTCTATTAATGGGTATTGCATATTTCTAGGGTCAAATCTTTAATCTTATTAGCTGGAGGGCTAAGAACCAACCAACTGTTGCTTGATCCTCCACTGAAGCAAAGTACAGATCGTTAGCTCACACAGCAGCCGAAACAACATGCATCTGTAAAGTGTTCAAGGATATTGGTCTTCATCTTCGTCAAGTTCCTCATATCTGGTGTGATAATATTTCTGCAATTTCACTTGCTTCCAATCCAGTTTTTCATGCTCAAACCAAGCATGTTGAACTTGATTATCATTATATCCGAGAGTTGGTGCTGGCTAATCTACTCATAGTCCAATATGTGTGCACTTAGGACCAATTAGCTAATATTCATACTAAATCCTTGTCTAAATCCAAATTCTTATACCTACAATCCAAGCTTTCTCTTGGACCTTTAGATGCATCCAAGTTCAGCTTGAGAGGGTGTAAAAAGTCAAGTATTGAGTCATCAAATTAGTTAGATGTTTGTTATAATCCTCTTGTAAATTGGTAGATTAGTCAAGGGTATAACTATAATTGTGAGAGGAGTATATTGCCTATATATACTAAATCATCATTGTAATTCTATAAACATTGAATGAAATGGAAGAGGTATTTTCAGAAACTGCGCATCCTTAGTTTCCACGGGAGGAGCAATCCATTGCTTGGTATAGGGATTCCGGATATAGTAATCATGGAACTGGCTTTTATAATTCTGCACAAAATCAAGTCATTATACGTAGCCACCGCATATGATTGGAGGGGAAGGAAGCTCAAAGAGAAATCGATTGTCTTGAAAACTGGATGCTTGGACGTTGTAAAAGCTTAGGGGGTAATGTAATCGATAGAGTACCACTCTTTCCGGTCACATTGGAGACACTGAAAGCGGCCAACAAAATAAGGATCGGAGATGGTACGGAGCCAACGCTTTGAGACAGACTTGCATTTGAAGGCAATTTTATTGCAAGGAAGGCGAACAAGGATTTCAACCACTACAGGCTCAGAAAGAACATCAATATACGATTCATGATCACATCTGATGGCTTCAACTTTTTGGGGGTGTTTATCATTTTGATTCTTTTCTTTTCTATTCTGCTGCAGCTTCCTTTTAGTTTTGTAGCAGTATTAAAGTAGCTATGATAAGGTTAGAATTGCTGAGATGTCGATCACCTCAGTGTTATTAATCCACATGTTAGATTATGGTTGGGAGATAGAGATTAACTTGTTATAACATAACAAGGTTGATAACATCATCTAACAGTGTAACAGTCATACTGTTTTAGATAAGAAAAAAGTAGAATGACAGTTATCTAACATCTTCTAGCGATGAATATATTTCAGTCTTGTTTAGATATTCCTTTATGCACAGGCTAGGTCTAATTGGGATTTATATTGGTCGCTTGCAACACTAATTTTGTAAGGCACTTGCGATCCCAGAGAATTGGAAACACTCAACATTTCATCGAAATTTCAATCGAACTCAATTTGATTCTTTGTTCAGTTCTGACTAGATTTTTATCACTTGAATATTGGTTATGGATCTCTCTTATCGCTTTGTTGCTCGTTAGTATTGTTTCTTCATTGTTTCTCCATTTCTGATATATCGTTTGTATGCGGGGTTTTGAGCTTATGTAGTTGTCTTTTTGCTTTGCCTTACTTTTGCAGTGGTTCTAATGGTTTAGGTTACAAGAGTTACGACATTGGAAAAGATCTTTGGCTGAAAATAAAAAATCCTATACATCTCAACCAACCTCTGTTAATCAAGATAGGCGCGTCCGAAGGCAATCATGAAAAATGAAATCCACGATCTTTGCACCCTCCTTTCCAAATGCTATGCTCTCGATTCATACTGTACATATGATACTTTCGTTTTGTTCCTTGTAGTCTCCCCATCTTTTAGATTGTAATTTTCGACAAATATGACTTACCTCCCATTTGACTCACGACTACCGTCATCTTTTCTTCCATATCTATGCAATTCATGTCTTATTCTCTCTCAAAACCATGTCATCTTCTCACATGCTTCAGTCAGATTTCAAGATTTTCCTACAACTTTTTGGAAAACCCACCCCTTTGTTTCAATCAATTTCACCACTGATGGATTGACTCACTCTGCCGTCTTATACTATTGATCACATTATCTCCTTCCTGGCAACACGATGACAAGAAGTTTGAACACGCATTACAACTATAGATTTCGACGTCCGAGTGGCTCTAAGACTCTACTGTGGCCTTAATGTCGTTGGAAGTGTGGTCTTCGAAGATCAAGGAAAGCCAAGATTTATTGGCTGGGTTCGAAATATAATTGACCTACATACTTGTTCCACTGTAAGAAGACATTCAAATTAATATTCCACTTAACACAGTGCATCAACAATCCATCGACTCATGGATCAAATTTGTCCTGATCAAGAAAATTTGCGCTGTTAAATTTTTCCCGCAAATGGAATCATATAAATCTTGGAGACATTTTTTCTACTTGCTATCAGTATAGGGTCTAAAATTTTCCCTCACAATGAACAAAATAGTCACTAATGTGTTTGCTAAGCTGCAAGTCATCACAATGAAAAGAACAGCAGCTAATGTGTTTGCAAACTTGCAAAGTCATACGGCTTCAGAATGTATAAGTAAAGGACGATCAATTGCAACGAGCCAATCTTGAACTTTGAGCCGATAACAAGTAGAAAAATGTCTCCAAAATTCACCTGATTCCACTTGCAAGAAAAATTTAACAACAGAAATCTTCTTGATCAGGTGAATTAGATCTACTAGCCGATGGATTGTTGGTGCGTGAAAAATTAATTTGAAATCTTTCTTAAAGTGAAATCAGTACGTCGATCAATTGTATTTGAACCCGCCAACAAATCTTACCTTTTCTTGACCTTCGAAGGTGTCACGGTAGAATCTCCTAGCCACTCGGATGTCGAAACTTAAAGTCGTAATCCGTGTACAAACTTGCCGTCATCGCCTTGCCAAGACACTTGACACTTGACGCACGGCATCGTGGAATGGTAGGAAGGAAAGAATATGGTCAACAATACAAGACGACAGGGTAGGCCAATCCGGCACGGTGAATTGAAAGATAGGCTTTGATTTTGAAAGAGATGATAGAGCTTCCTAAACTGGATAAAGCTTTGAATGAAAAGGTTGCCTCCGTCGATTTTTCTGAGACGTGTGGCTGATTGTTTGTTTGAGTGTAGTCGTCTTTCCCCTTACTCTTGTATTTAGAGTGCTCCACCACAAACCCTAGTCTTCATCGTCCCCACCAAAAACTGTCTCTGTCACCAAGGACAAATTTGCCATTATCATCCTTCAGCCATACAAGTTACCAGAACCATATTAATTGCTAGGCTCCGGAGGTTGTAAGCTTTCAGGCCCACTTTTTAGCATATTTCAGTTCAAATAAATTCACGTTCAGTTTTGATGAGCCTTGCAAAGGTGCAGAAGGAGCAATTGCGTTGGTTGCTCCTCCATTCAATGGAGAGGAAGCAATTGCGATATTATTACTAAGTAAACTTCTTAATTAACTCCAAACCGCTCCTTAATACAACATTATTTTTAAATAAACAAAAGCATAGCTGTACGTTGGCAGAAGCTTAAAATACGACGAGCAGAAACTACACGAGAAAACACTCTTATCAACACTCACTCACTTCTTCTAGGTATTTACTGGCTCCTCATGTATGCCTTGCATCCAACGCCACATAAAAACTTCACTTCTTCGAGGAGGAAACGGATACAGATTTAGACTTTGAAGACGACCACGCAGCGCCCTATCAGGACAAAACTCCTACTTTGTGGCTGCAAGAACTGCTGGCCCTTCCACCTGAAAATTTCACCCCGTCAAGTTGACGAAAAATGTTTACAATCACGAATGCCTGACCCTAGTCACTGGCTTCATGAGATCTTGTAAATGATTCTCAAAATCAACAGACAATCTTCATGTTCAAACATCACTTTTTCGTTTTGCTCGAATATAATTTCCTTAAAAAGGAAGCTTGAGCATCTCAATTCCAAGAGCCTTAATCAGGAATTGTTTTACACAATCAGCTAACGCTGCAAAGACTAAGCAGATGATGTGAAACTTTCTCCAACTAAGGCTCTTTGTGTTGAGATGCTACTGCAATCCTGTTTGGATACGAAGATAGTTCTTGCATCGTATGATCTAACTCTTCAGAGAGCCTACTTATCATTAACGACATAATAATATACATCGCGCCACTAGAATGACCCCACAGAAGGAATAATCCGGCCGCAACCCAAATGCTAAATAGCATCAACTGGTGTTAATAAATCTACAGTCAGTTCTCTTACTAAAGCAAAATTAGGCACTTCATATTTACCTTAAATGTTGCACCCCAGATTTCTTCATCAGTAGCAGGCACAGCTGTGATCTTGTTTTTAGGATTCTCATAGCTTCTCAGTCCTCCAACAGACGTGGAGTAGAAACATCCTGTACAAATTAATAACACCATTGTTAACAAAGAACAGAGATTTGTTTTCAAAACTCATACATCATGTTGCAATTTGTCAAATTATTGGTGGAGCCAAAAAAATCAAGGAATTAGGTGCGCTGATGCTCCCACTAAAAAACTTTTACGCACCTTGAGGGAAAGAAGCAAGTGACTTGCCACAAGCACCCTTTAGCAGTTCTGCATCATCACCAAAGGCCACATATCCATCAGCAGTAATTCCCCATGAGAGCGGAATCTTGCCATATTGGTCCTGTCACAATTACACACCAAATCCAATTGTTAGATGTCAATCAAAGCTATTAGCTTTACCAAGGTATATTATTCTTTGCTTGGTGTGGAAGGAATCAAAGGTGACTTACAGACGCCACGAACACAGTTGAGGTGGACTTGTCAAATACTATGAAAGCAAAATTTCCACTGAGGTGGCCAACGACATGGTTTGGCGGGTAAGGAGCCCGATCACGAAGGGCCTTGTAAGCCTCGATCACCAAAATCACTTCATTTGCCGACTTGGCAAGTCCGTATTGCTGCCTCAAACTTCCCAAGTTGTCAAGTGCTCCCTCAAACAAGCAGAATATCTCATCCTTCACTGCAAATGACCTGCAATTTCCCCATTTTCCGCAGTTAGATTACATTCAATACAAGTGACCTCGGATTATGCATAATCTGAAACGCATAGCGGACTATGAATTATTATGTACAAAGTAGTCTGGCATATAATCAGGATAAATCCCAGTATTAGTATAGCACTCATCACGCGACCATGATAAGACCACCAAGTCCATGTACAACTTGCCAATATGGTCCCAACTCCCCACCTGCGGATACAACTCTTATTGTCTATGATCAATTATTTGTGACTTGATGATGAAAGACTTCACAATTATCACAATTAATAATTGAATCGTAAACAAACATGGGAAAGTCACCAACTTGATCGATCAACTAACACCTAACAAAAAATATGGATCTCCTGTATTCTTCTCTCACCGATTCCACGACGCGACAAGTATCTATTAACACAAGTAATTTACTTTCTGAATCATGTAAATATTGAATCGATGACTTCATTTAATTTATATTCGGTAGCGAGAGAGAATCTCTCCCTCTCTGCGTCATCCTCCTCCTCACCTACTTCCACTTCAATTCTTTGGAGACTTTGGGATTGATTCGGAGGAACAAATAATTTGAAAAGGTATTTTAAGGACAAAAAGTAAATAAATAAATAAAATTTTGTCTGGAAAACGAATCTGGTACGACAGTTTAAATACTTATCGCAACTAACGAAGATGAAATCATTTATCAAAAATAATATTATTGTTGTGAAATTGGGAAATTATTCAGTTCAGGATCCTGACACGTGGAAGGATCAACTGTGTGGTCGTCCATTGAAACAATCTAGTCACCAAAATCTGAACTCTGGATAACGTCCCATGGCGGTCATGCGAGACCCACACCGCACTAACCGCCAAAACTCTCTTTGCCGATCCCGAAGCTCCGAGAAAACCAGATCATCAATCAGATCAAGAAATCATCACGACTTCACAATCATGATCATCATAGAGTCTCCTCTCCAACCGTGATCAACAAATCAACCACACAGAGTATAAAATTAAAATTACAATAAATCACGAGAAAAAAAAAAAAACCTTAATTAATTAAAAAGTGAGTATTTTGGACAATTTTACTCGATTTGATTAATTACGAATCCGGCGTGGTTTCACTGATCTCAGTTCTAAGAGTAAAAGAAACGACATGCCGTGTGTTTGTCTCACCTCGGCTGCAACGGAGACTCGTTGCTGTGACTGTAGGCTAGCTGAGCGTCGTCGCCGACTTGTACGGAGACGGCGGCCCCATTGGTCTGGACGAAGCGGTTGACCAGCGACGTCGCCGTGATTTTCGGCGACGGAGTTCGGCTGCCGGCGGCTACCAGCTCGTCCGGCGGCGACACGATCGCGCTGCTGAAAACTCCCAACATGTTTTGATCTTAACTCAGAAATGAACAGAAATAAACAAAATCGACCAAAATCTAATCTTTTCTTTTAGTTATGTTGGAGTTGAGAGAGAGCTCGGAATTGGGATCGTTAGCAATGGAGGGGCAGGGTTCCTTATATAGGAAGAGCGCGAGGGTATTCCCGTCATTTGACTAGCTATGATTGTGATTAATTTTTCTGTTGTAATGGCTAAAATTCAAATTTTTCCACAAAAAGTTCGGCAGAAAATGGGATAAAATCTATTGATTATATTTCAACATGAGCAAATTTATTAATGACATTTAACTTAAAATATTAAAAAAATTTATGCTTAAAATACCACTATCTGAAAGTTTGATGTCCAAAATTAATTTCATACGGGATTGTAAAATAAAGAATCCATAATTTTACAAAAAGAAGAAAAACATTAATATTACAAATTTCTTGCCCAATATATGGTACCAATTTGTAATTTAGATTTTATTTTAGTGTTCTATGAGTTTATATTTAGAAAGACAAAAAAAATAAATAAATAAGAATAATTATACACTTATTACATTTTTATATCATATTCACCTCTTTATCCACATTTATTAAAGTAATACAAATATGTATAAAAAAATAAAACGCGTTTTGCTCATTACCTTACTTATTACTAGTGAATGAATTTAAATCTTGAAATAAGTAGTGTTATACTTATCATCTATACATACCATGTATTTAATAGAGGTAGGATCTACCAACATATGTAGATCTACTAATATATGGGGGGTCTCATCTTGATCGGAGATATGATACAATTGATGGTTCAAATAGATGGTAAGAATAACATTTTTATTTTGAAATTTGTATCTATCCACTAGATAGATCTCAAAATTTAAATTGCATGATAGTAATAAATAGGGTAAATTACATTTTACCCTCTCAGGTTTGGGATTGATTTCAATTCCTTACAACATCTTTAAAACATTTCAATTTCATACATTTACTTATTATTTTATTTCAATTTCATACATCCTTCATAAATCTATTAATTAAATTGTTAAGTGATGACGTGGTAAATATGAAATCTACATTTGTGCTGACGTGGCTACCAAATTTGTGCCATGTGACAAAAAAAAAAAAATTTATGCATTTAAAAACATAAACCTTTCCCCCCGACCCACTCCCTCTCCTTCGCCCCACCCCACCGCTACCTCCCCTGCAACCCCCTATCCCACCTTCTCCCTCTCCTCCATTCTCTTCACCTCCCTCCCTTCTTTCTCCTCAAAGACCCACCAACTCATCCATCCTCGTTCGTCTGTCACTTTCCTTCCCCCACCAACCCAGAAACCATCCTCGTTTGTCGAAGTTCGATGTTGAACAAGAACAAGAGGAGAAGACAATGCGATTGAGGAACTCATAGAAGCACCAACTGTCTTAGTCTTCTTCCTCTCTGGCTCTGCTCATCGTTTACTGAGCTTTCCCATTTGGGTAATAAAAATGCCCGAGAAATTTCGCTGATGCCCATTCAATTAGACCCCAGTGCTGATGTGACAGCCACGTCAGCTCTTAATGGATCAATAGATGAAAAATGTAACGGATATATTATATTGAAATAAAATAGTACTTGAGGTATGAAAGTGAAATTTGTTGAAGATATTGCATGAGGTTGCAATAAACTTCAAACATAAGGTGGTAAAGTGTAATTACCCTAATAAATAAAGCGGTAAACATCACCATCACTTGAAGTTAATGGACACAAACATTCTCATATTTTAATGGGGTAAGAGTAGCATTTTCATTTTTACAAGGACTTATATCTAAAGATTCCTATTTTATGAAATTTCACTCTGTTTTTGGCCTTTTCCGCATTTTCGAATGAAAAATGCATTGAAGGGCGACGAGGCATGTGGTGGGTGGGACCCATTGAGATCGATGATTCCCGAGCCTACATTGTGGGACCCCTGGACGAGGCACTCATGAGTACATGTCGAGCAACTAGGCCAATTAGTATGAATCAAGCGAGGAGGGAATCATCAGGTACTGAAGTGTCTGGGTGTTCTTAGTTTTCGAGCACATATGATTTTGTGCCACGTCGGACATCTTTTAGGTCTCTGGATTTGCTGCGAAATCACGGGAGTTGTTTCCGCTGGAAACTAACTAGGAAGGGGAGCTTTTGGTAATGTCAAAAATATGATTTTCTTCAACAATGTCTTATCTGTTTAAACCTACTCACCAGAAGAAAGGGAAGAAAAAAAAAAAAAAAAAAAAACCAATATTTCTTACCAACAAAACTAAAAACAAGATTTGTTATTTGGTAAATGTTAGAATTTGATCTCTTTCAACAACAATTTTTTTTTTTTATTGGTGTTAGAAATTCGAAGTAGGTTTAGTTACTTGCCATTTACTCAATATTGTTTTTGGTATTTCTAGTTGAGAATTGCTTAGATGACTCTTGTGGATGCAAATTTCCGTATTCTTCTTCTTGGACAAAATTACACCTACAAAACAATTAACACATTAGGTCAAGGCTAAGAGCCTCACGCGCTCATGATGAATAGGGGAGCTTTGGCTGAAGAACCTCCAATGCGTTAAAATTTTGATGGAAAAGTGTTTAGAGAATTTAAAGAATTTTGCAAGAGAATTCAACCTTGGTTTTTGGAGAAAATGGGGTGGTACTTTTAGGGCTATGGCCAGCCCTATTAGGAGAATGGGGACCAGCCATATGTGGTATTTTTGGTGTTAATTTCAATCAATTAGCTAATTAATAAATTAATTGGGTAATAAATCAATTAATTAGCTAATTAATATAATTTGAAAGGAATGATTTGGGGGTTACCTTGTGGAGAAGATTTGATGAGGATGGATGAAATAGGTTTTGAATAATTACCTATTTTGAGCACTTTTGACCTTTATTAAGTCATGATTGTTCACTGCTCGCGCGTAGGAGTTTCGGTATTCATTGAGGGTAATTTTATCTTTTTCACCCTAGAATCCGCATGTTGCCTCATATTTTTTTCGATTATTTTTTGCTCCACAACTTTTTGTCACTCTACAATTTAACGTCAAATTTTGTGTTAATATTATAAAATATTGTGCGAAAAACATGAGATGACTGAGAAAGTTATACCTTTAAGAGAGTCATTTTAGCATTTCTCTTTTCTAGTTACAAACTTACAGTTACAACATTAAATTGAATGGCCACCAATAGCACTTTTCTCTTTTTGTATTCAATTCCTATTCCTAAGTTTTGCTTTAATATGTTCGAGTCTAGTGTGAACTTTGTTAGGTTTGAGGTTTTGGTTGCAAAGATTCTTAAACAGGTTTCATCCGTTAACTACTTTTGCTCATCATTTCTATGAGGTTTTATTTTTATTTCTTTTACTTGAATGATAAATTCTAATTTTTCTATGTGATTTATATATCAATTGGACCCTCGTAATAATATTCTTTATTGGAAATGAACTTCCATGTAATCTTTCATCATCGGATTTATCTCTCTATTTCTTTCATCACTAGAGTTATTACATGCGAAAAATGAAGAGAAAGATGAAAATAGATATACACCATGTTGCATCTGAGTGAGTTTTTCCCCTTCATTGGCATGCACTTGGCAATTGACATGCGCTTCGCCCTTCAAGTTCAATGTATGCAAGTCGTCATTGTCGATTTCCACGGGGAGGAAGCTGGCCACAAATATTGGAGTATGATGTGTTCCCTTTTATGATGGGGAAAGCACAATCATACAATTTAAATCTCACATAAATTAAATTTCCTTGTCTTTTAGAAAAAAAAAAATAGCAATGAAAAACATTAGCAAAAGAGTTGGGAGTAACAATTCTCAACAACAAAATTTGTAATATTAAGGTAAGTTACATCATGAAGTCATATTCTGAAGGATTTTATTCTGATACAAGCAGTATCGCATCGAGCTTTTGATTTATGTGTCCTATCACGTGTAGAAGAAGAAAAACAATCGCTCCAGCGAATGTAGCTATGGCCCCATATGATCAAATATTGTATTAAAACAATAATCAACTCTAATTAACATACTAGTTGTTTTCAAATATTATATCAAATTATGGTTTTCCTTTTGTAAAAAGATTTCCTGAGTGGTGATCATCAACTCGGTTTATTTGTTCTACCACTTATGATCAGCTCATATATTCGGAATAAGAACTAAAAATAGACGGGTCCAAACTTCTTTTTATTTTTTATTTTTTCAGGTCGATAGACTGGTCCAAGCTTCTAAGTTCCAAAAAACCATGGGTGCCCCTGGTACAGTTTCATAATTCTGTTGGCATGCAAGTTCAATAAAATATATAATTAATCAACCAAATAAACGTACTCAATACAAAATGGTGCAAATATATATCACTCCCACATATTTTATGCTGATGGGGCATGAAATAGTGTTTAGATTATTCTTGTTAATGAGGATTATTATTCTGATGAGGTTGATTAAACTTTTGTAATCTATAATTTACTTTTCAAGTAGTGCTTCTCCTGCTCCTCTGTCTAACAAATCAAAATAATCATATTGCTAGGTTGTTTATTTAAGAATATAACTTGAGTTTTGCGCCATCTTAGAGAAAGAGGAATTTAAATATAATAATATAGATAACATAAGAAAATATAATACAAAGACTAAGGTTTTATTTTGTGTCTAGGATTAGTTTGGACCTAACTAGCTTTAATGTACGTAGAAAGAAGAAATAAGTGTGAAGTCCGAAATTGGGTCTAAGTTGAAGGTAGACGATGAATTAATAACTTATATGACTAGTTCGTCTTTTCAATTTGGACAAAGTTTAAAAGATGACATCCATTCATAATCAAGGGAATTTTTCAATTCAATGTAATCATGGACACCAAACAGGACGTAAATAATGGGATTTCATGTCAGGTAGAAATTTTCCTTTAAATGTGGCTTAGGTAGAAATTTTCGAGAATGACTACAATACTTTCATGTCAGGTTTTAGAGTGCATGTGGCTACACTGCCTTACGGTATTGAATGTCTGAAAGTGTCATTGTATGATTTATTCTTTTCAACAGTTAAGTCTTAGTATTCAAATCTTTTCGTTCATTTTTTGAAATAT